GTGGGAACTCCTTCAAGACTGTTGGAAAAGCATTCCAGGTGAAGCTGGTTGAGAGAATGCCAAGAGTGTGCAAAGCTGTCATTTTTATTTTATTGTAATTTTTTTATAGTCATTTAGCAGACGCTCTTATCCAGAGTGAGTGCATACATTATTATATATATTTTTTTTTTCATACTGGCCCCCCGTGAGAATCGAACCCACAACCCTGGCTTTGCAAATGCCATGCTCTACCAACCGAGCTACATCCCTGCCGGCCATTCCCTCCCCTACCCCGGACGACGCTGGGCCAATTGTGCGCCGCCCCGTGGGTCTCCCGGTCGCGGCCGGCTACGACAGAGCCTGGATACCATTGTCATCAAGGCAAAGGGTGACTATTTGAAGAATCTCAAAAATAAAATATATTTTGATTTGTTTAACACTTTTTTGGTTACTACATGATTCCATATGTGTTATTTCATAGTTTCGATGTCTTCACTATTATTCTACAATGTAGAAAACAGTAAAAGTAAAGAAAACCCCTTGAATGTGTAGGTGTTCTAAAACATCTGACCGGTAGTGTATCTTTTTTTCTATTCTTTGGATATGATTTTGAGAGATCATACACATTTCAAACAAATTCATGCAAGTAGATGATTTCATACAGACCATGTGAGCATTTCTGAAAATGTTTTGTGAACGTCATCAGAGGGCCAGGGTAATAATTTAGAGTAGGATATTAACCTCCCAATCAACCAAATTTAAATGGCTAGATATTTTATATGTTAGTTGATGACGTACTCTTATTTAATAACAGATATAGACCCAGCTCTGTTAGTATATCCCATAAATATCTCTGAAGTCCATAAGCAGACTATCCCTGTCCTTTTCATTGGAGTAGCATTGTAAAAAAACATCTTGTCAATTTGTGAGAGGGGGTTTCCTAGCAAATTGCCAGGTAGCCTACTCTCATTGAGGCTGGAGTGAGTAAGGGAGTGAAGGGAGGAAGGAAGCAAGGAGGGGAACTGGAAGGGGCAGCAGTTCCTGTGTGAAGACTTTGTCGCCGGTTGATTTTTAAACAGACTATTGAGTGGGGTGAACTAAATCAGTGCCATACATATCCTCAAACTTTATGTTTCAATCCAATTTAACTACAGCAATCCAAATGTAGTCTATTCACCACATGACAGCTGTAATAGCGAGTATAAATGGGAAAGAAATGCAGCTTTTACTAAAGCTTGTATAACTCATTATGCATTGACCTGTAATTTATAACAGCTAGTCCTAACTTGTCACTACGATGGCACTGAACTAGTGTTCTAACCTCGCCATAGCCCACTCTGGTTGTGTGTATGAAAGGGTGTCGAAGAAGTAATGACAGTGAAATATGAAATCATCAGAGTCGCTGAGATTGCACTTGTTTTGTTCAGTCTCTTGGTTTCCTGTATGAAACAGAGAATCTCATTGCAGATAAGTACTTATCATAGTGGGAGGCCGTTCCTTCTCTTGCTAGAACAAAAGTGGTACCAAAGACAGTACAGTATGAAGATAGGCAGAAACTGCTTCTTCAATATAAATCCCTGACCACACTTGTAGGCGATGTCATAGCAAGGTTGGCTAGCAAAGCTAGGGTCTAACGCTAGGATCTAATGGTCGTCTTGCGCTGAACTGTCAAAAACTACTATAAAGTAGTTTTTGACGAAAATGAAAACGTGTCAGTTTGTTACTTTAACGAGGTTGGAGTAATAACATGTTCAACTACTTAAGACATTGGTGTCCCGAGTGGCGCAGCGGTCTAAGGCACTGCATCTCAGTGCTTGAGGTGTCACTACAGACCCTCTGGTTCGATTCAAGGCTGTATCACAACCGGCCGTGATTGGGAGTCCCATAGGGCGGCGCACAATTGGTCCAGCGTCCTGCGGTGTAGGCCGTCATTGTAAATAAGAATTTGTTCTTAACTGACTTGTCTAGTTAAATAAATTGGCTCGAATCTAGGTTATACCTTTGGATTGAGAGAAAACTAACAACAAAGGAAGAATAATTTACTTCTCAAACCCCAAACCCCGGCTTGGTCTGTTTCGCAAGGATTCCCGGAAGTCTCGCAATGTTGCGCCTTTGGATTTAGAAACTCTGTGGCGGTACCTGCTGCGTGCCAACCCGGTAGCGACGAATAAGCTGTTTCTACCTGTAGAATCGCAATGCTCGTCAGTGGCCAACAACTTGACTTTGACTCAAATCAGACAGCACATACCCCCACGTTGGGGTAGCCAACAGGAGTGACAACAAAAGGGAAAAAATAGGGCATTTTCTCTGTACATACATCCATGGTTAAATGTCATGAGCCAGTCACACTTCATATACAGTGAGGGAAAAAAGTATTTGATCCCCTGCTGATTTTGTACGTTTGCCCACTGACAAAGAAATGATCAGTCTATAATTTTTATGGTAGGTTTATTTGAACAGTGAGAGACAGAATAACAACAAAAAAATCCAGAAAAACGCATGTCAAAATGTTTATAAATTGATTTGCATTTTAATGAGGGAAATAAGTATTTGACCCCTCTGCAAAACATGACTTAGTACTTGGTGGCAAAACCCTTGTTGGCAATCACAGAGGTCAGACGTTTCTTGTAGTTGGCCACCAGGTTTGCACACATCTCAGGAGGGATTTTGTCCCACTCCTCTTTGCAGATCTTCTCCAAGTCATTAAGGTTTCGAGGCTGACGTTTGGCAACTCGAACCTTCAGCTCCCTCCACAGATTTTCTATGGGATTAAGGTCTGGAGACTGGCAAGGCCACTCCAGGACCTTAATGTGCTTCTTCTTGAGACACTCCTTTGTTGCCTTGGCCGTGTGTTTTGGGTCATTGTCATGCTGGAATACCCATCCACGACCCATTTTCAATGCCCTGGCTGAGGGAAGGAGGTTCTCACCCAAGATCTGACGGTACATGGCCCCGTCCATCGTCCCTTTGATGCGGTGAAGTTGTCCTGTCCCCTTAGCAGAAAAACACACCCAAAGCATAATGTTTCCACCTCCATGTTTGACGGTGGGGATGGTGTTCTTGGGGTCATAGGCAGCATTCCTCCTCCTCCAAACACGGCGAGTTGAGTTGATGCCAAAGAGCTCCATTTTGTTCTCATCTGACCACAACACTTTCACCCAGTTCTCCTCTGAATCATTCAAATGTTCATTGGCATACTTCAGACAGGCATGTATATGTGCTTTCTTGAGCAGGGGGACCTTGCGGCCGCTGCAGGATTTTAGTCCTTCACGGCGTAGTGTGTTACCAATTGTTTTCTTGGTGACTATGGTCCCACCACGGGCGGCAGGTGGCTTAGTGGGTAAGAGCGTTGTGCCAGTAACTGAAAGGTCGCTGGTTCTAATCCCCCAGCCGACTAGGTTGAACAAATCTGTCGATGTGCCCTTCAGCAAGGCACTTAACCCTAATTGCTCATGTAAGTCGCTCTGGATAAGAGCGTCTGCTAAATGACAAAAATAAATAAATAAATAATTGACAAGATCCTCCTGTGTAGTTCTGGGCTGATTCCTCACCGTTCTCATGATCATTGTAACTCCACGAGGTGAGATCTTGCATGGAGGCCGAGGGAGATTGACATTTCTTTTGTGTTTCTTCCATTTGCGAATAATCGCAGCAACTGTTGTCACCTTCTCACCAAGCTGCTTGGCGATGGTCTTGTAGCCCATTCCAGCCTTGTGTAGGTCTAAAATATTGTCCCTGACATCCTTGGAGAGCTCTTTGGTCTTGGCCATGGTGGAGAGTTTGAAATCTGATTGATTGATTGCTTCTGTGGACAGGTGTCTTTTATACAGGTAACAAGCTGAGATTATGAGCACTCCCTTTATGAGTGTGCTATAATCTCAGCTCGTTACCTGTATAAAAGACACCTGGGAGACAGAAATCTTTCTGATTGAGAGGGGGTCAAATACTTATTTCCCTCATTAAAATGCAAATACATTTATAACATTTTTTACATGCGTTTTTCTGGATGTTTTTGTTGCAGGGGATCAAATACTTTTTTCCCTCACTGTACAATGTAGGCTATGGGACGGTAGCTAGCTAAGTGCGCAGACACAATGCACACAACACTAAATACTTCCTCAAAGCTAGCTAACCACTCTAGCTAGTATTGACCTTATAATGAAATCACAATGGATTACTTTCCATTAGTTAGCTGCCGAGTTAGTGCAGTGTCCTTAGCTAGCTAGCTATGTTGCGCTAGCTAGCGAATATGCTATTATTAGCTAGTTGGCTAAACATTTGGCTATGGGCTGGCACTGGCAGTATGGGATTATGGAGTGTGAATTGAATTGTTTCTTTGTTATCTTGTTAGCTAGCTACCGTCCCTAGGTCGTTATCTAGCTGTAGCCATCTGGATAGTATCAAGGGCTTTTTACAAAATAGCAATATTAGCTAGCTAGCTAACATTGGAATCTAGACCATAAACTAAGCAACACACACAGACATGCATTGCCAAATAACGCTACTGCCACCTTCTGGTTTGGAGTATTTTAACAAGGCTGAGTGGCTGTTGACGTCAAGGTCTTTGCTGTGTGAACACAAAAGAGATTGACTGCCTACACTCTGTTTAGAGGTGCTAAGTACTGTCATCTGGAAAACATTTGACAATCCTACCGGTGTGTCTGAGCTTTAGTGTTAGAGCACTCAGCATCCTTGACTCCTGAATCACTCACTTCCCTGTCAGGCACAGAGGGCAAAAGGTCATGGACAGTCCCATTAGGATATAAATCAAGCTCTGCACAAGCTATTATTAAATATCCTTTTTACGTTTTTAGTAACTTGAGATTTGCGAGTTTCCGCCTAAGTCTTCCATTGATATCAATACATTATTTAAGTGTGCACATCTCAGTTAGGATTCGGCCCCTATAGTTTATAGTAGATTTTGGTGGCGTCCAAGACTGTCATTGTCACAGTGGGTTGTTCAACCTTCGTTGCCCCAGGCTAAAGTGGTTCATTTGTTTGGAGAGCTGTATGGTGCTGCCATGTTCCTCCAGACAGACTCCAAGGTTACAGAAAACAGAGTAATCCAGATGTCCAGGAAAATCTGCCCCACTTCAGTTGTTGGCTGTCATATTCCTGTTCTGTCTTGTTTGCTCTATGGAAACTTAATCTCTCAGCCAATATGACTAATGATTAATGTTACTGTGTAAACAATGCACTATTGTTAACCATTGCATAGGTTACACAACATAAAATATTACCTTTAACATGGAGACACAAAGATAGGGACAGATGTTGCATTTTTTTTGGTGAGCTACAGCTGTAATTATCTTAATTTGATCACCCTGTTGCAGTATAACTTTCCTGCAACCCAGAAAATTGAAAACGTTTAGTGTATTTGAGGTTTAAAAAGGCTTTTAAAGTTTGTAATGTCCACTTTGAAATTTCAGACGTGATTTTCCGTTATGAAAAATGCATCAACGCCTACAAAAATGTCCTTTAATTATAATCCACATAATTATTCACATGTACTGTTGCTGCAGGATTATTTTCCTGCTGTAGGAAACTGGCTCAAAATAAGATCCTACATCTGTACACACACTATGGTGCTTATGATGATTGTTCAATCATTGTGTCAATCAATGTGTTCAAACCGGCCCCTATTCAAATAAACCATGAATCAAATATACACAAAATCGGAAGTGGTTCCATGATTTATCTTCCATTAACCCCAAACTGTTTGTTGTGTGTTCAGGAGAATGGGAAGAACCGCCTGCAGCAGGCCCAGGAGGAGGTGGAAGAGGTGAAGGTGATCATGCTAGATAATCTCTACAAGGCTGACGAGAGGTCAGGCAAGCTGGGAGAACTGGAGAACAGGGCCGATGAACTTTTGGAGAAGGTGATTGTTCTAAGTTTATGGCTGTGTCCCAAATGGCGCCTTATTCCCAGAGAGCTCTGGTGAAAAATAGTGCTCTATATCGGGAATAAGGTGCCATTTGGGATGTACCCTATAATAAGAGACGTCTTTAATGGAACCAAATCATGACAATACAAAACATTATTAATTTGAAGATACTGACTTTGCAGGTCTTACTTTGATGATTCCAATGCTATCATACTGGTAACATTCAAGGTGCATTTCAGAGAGACACAAATAGCACAATAGGGTTCTCCTTTGGAATTCTCCGGCTTTGGTGTCTCATGGAAGTGTTTTCCAATGTTCCACGGTTCAATACGAGTCCAGGGAATAGGCAGGAAATGTCATATTGGTGTCTAGAAATACACTTTAGTTGGAGTTGGAGGGGGAAAATAATGTACAATTTACATCCTGATTGTGGTTTAAGGTGATATTTTTAGAAAGGTATTTCCTATTGTTGTAAGATGAATGAAACCCACTGGTCTCCCTCAGTATAGAGAGAGGGGTGTCCAGGACGTGCCACAGGGTGCATGTCCGTCCTGGTCCATCCTGGGGTCAACCAACCAGGTCACAGCTTTCCCACATTTCTCCCCAGCCAGGCCGTTACATCACAACAACCACATAGTTCTCTGAGGACTCGCTAGGTTGCTGACTAGGGTTGCATCCCAAATGGCACCCTATTCCCTATATAGTGTACTACTTTTGACTAGGGCCCACAGGGCTCTGGTCAAACGTAGTGCACTATATAGGGAATAGGGTGCAATGTGGGACACAGCCATAGTTCTCTGAGGACTGGCTGGCTGACTGGGTTACTGAGAAAAACAAAACAGCAGTGTTAAGAAAAACAAAAACACCAGTCTAGATTCATTGGAAGATCATTGGGAAAGTAGCGTGCACTGTAACTAAAGCCTTCTGTCTATTGAATTGTCAGAAAATGGCAAGTTTCATGACAGAATAGTTTCTTTCTGGATTTTTAAATATGTACAATGCAGTGCAGCCTCAATTGCAGAGATAAAGTAGATCCCCCCTCCTCCATATTCTGACAGATATACAGTGGGGAGAACAAGTATTTGATACACTGACGATTTTGCAGGTGTTCCTACTTACAAAGCATGTAGAGGTTTGTAATTTTTATCATAGGTACACTTCAACTTTGAGAGACGGAATCTAAAACAAAAATCACATTGTATGATTTTTAAGTAATTAATTTGCTTTTTATTGCATGACATAAGTATTTGATACATCAGAAAAGCAGAACTTAATATTTGGTACAGAAACCTTTGTTTGCAATTACAGAGATCATATGTTTCCTGTAGGTCTTGACCAGGTTTGCACACACTGCAGCAGGGATTTTGGCCCACTCCTCCATACAGACCTTCTCCAGATCCTTCAGGTTTCGGGGCTGTCGCTGGGCAATACGGACATTCAGCTCCCTCCAAAGATTTTCTATTGGGTTCAGGTCTGGAGACTGGCTAGGCCACTCCAGGACCTTGAGATGCTTCTTACGGAGCCACTCCTTAGTTACCCTGGCTCTGTATTTCAGGTTATTGTCATGCTGGAAGACCCAGCCACGACCCATCTTCAATGCTCTTACTGAGGGAAGGAGGTTGTTGGCCAAGATCTCGCGATACATGGCCCCTTCCATCCTCCCCTCAATACGGTGCAGTCGTCCTGTCCCCTTTGCAGAAAAGCATCCCCAAATAATGATGTTTCCATCTCCATGCTTCACTGTTGGGATGGTGTTCTTGGGGTTTTACTCATCCTTCTTCTTCCTCCAAACACAGCGAGTGGAGTTTAGACCAAAAAGCTACATTTTTGTCTCATCAGACCACATTACCTTCTCCCATTCCTCCTCTGGATCATCCAGATGGTCATTGGCAAACTTCAGACGGGCCTGGACATGCGCTGGCTTGAGCAGGGTGACCTTGCGTGCGCTGCAGGATTTTAATCCATGACGGCGTAGTGTGTTACTAATGGTTTTCTTTGAGACTGTGGTCCCAGCTCTCTTCAGGTCATTGACCAGGTCCTGCCATGTAGTTCTGGGCTGATCCCTCACCTTCCTCATGATCATTGATGCCCCAACGAGGTGAGATCTTGCATGGAGCCCCAGACCGAGGGTGATTGACCGTCATCTTGAACTTCTTCCATTTTCAAATAATTGCGCCAACAGTTGTTGCCTTCTCACCAAGCTGCTTGCCTATTGTCCTGTAGCCCATCCCAGCCTTGTGCAGGTCTACAATTGTATCCCTGATGTCCTTACACAGCTCTCTGGTCTTGGCCATTGTGGAGAGGTTGGACTCTGTTTGATTGAGTGTGTGGACAGGTGTATTTTATACAGGTAACGAGTTCAAACAGGTGCAGTTAATACAGGTAATGAGTGGAGAACAGGAGGGCTTCTTAAATAAAAACTAACAGGTCTGTGAGAGCCGGAATTCTTACTGGTTGGTAGGTGATCAAATACTTATGTCATGCAATAAAATGCAAATTAATTACTTAAAAATCATACAATGTGATTTTCTGGATTTTTGTTTTAGATTCCGTCTCTCACAGTTGAAGTGTACCTATGATACAAATTACAGACCTCTACATGCTTTGTAAGTAGGAAAACCTGCAAAATCGGCAGTGTATCAAATACTTGTTCTCCCCACTGTAGATGCATAGGGTCTTGGTATTAACATCCTTCTAACTTGATATTAACATCTTATAATTATGTGTTTTCAGAGTAAGGCTTTCTCAAAGTCTGCTGGGAAAGTGAAACAACAGAAATGGTGGGAACACATGAAAATTAAAGTGTTGCTGACTGGTATAGGGGTCATCGTGGCAGCCATCATCATTGGGATTATTGTATGGTCAGCGTCTGGATCTGACGACCGCAGCTCAAACAACAGCTCCACTGCTGTAGAGCAACCCACCCCAGGGCCTTAGGACCATAGATTGTCTGTCAGAGCAAAGGACATGGAGGAAATTAAGATGGAAGATGGAGATGGAGACAGGGGCAGGTGAGACCTCCCCGGAAATAAAGAGTCAATCAGACAAGAATAGTGGATGTAGATGAAGATATAGGTTTATTAACCTGGTCCCAGATCTGTTTGTGCTCTTGCCAACTACAATGCTGTCATTGTCAAGCTAAACATTTGGCATGACATTGAGTGACAAGGACTTGGTATGATGATAGCACAAAAATGCTTTCCACCTGAGCTCAATATAGGTTTTATGGGTTGACTTTTCAGAACTTTTTAATCTGTGATATTGTTTATTTTTTTAGGCATTTTAGGCTCCGTGCTCAGTGTGTAGATCGTTGAATTAAATGGTACCATCAATAGCTCAGCTGCTTCCCCATTCAGTATCGTCTTCAACTGGCGGTAGTTGGTCAGGCTCACTGGTTTCACATTCATACTCAGAAATGCTTCAGCCTTACGATAGGATTTGGTATATGTGAATGTTTGGTCAATTCAAATAAAACAGATTGTGCCTTTGGTATGTAAAAAGCAAAAATCACCATTGGATGAATTGTGTGTCCGTTTTTTCAGTATTCCATGTAAGCTGTAAAAGGGACATGACAAAATTATAATTGTCATGAAATGTAATGAGTGAACCATTTATTTTCATAAATGTAATTCTTCCTTTTTTTCCTGGTCAAAAGAAACATAAGAAAAGGAACTTAATTGTTATTTGTATACAAAACACTTATGTTTGAGGCCAGCAATGCAGTGTGAGTATTTATGTTTCATGTGTCATTCATTAGCCTACAGGTAAGCAATATGTACAGGATCAAAAACCGCTGCTGAGAAATCGCATCATATCTTCACTTATCTTCTTAACATATGAGTTTTTGTCATTTTGGTGTCCTCTATTTGTAACTTCTTCCCCAGGCTTGTTAGCCGGCTGGTGGATGAGATTACCCTATTTGTTACGGACTTTCCTTTCCCAATTGTTGTTTACCCTTGAGCTATTACCATCTCAAATACATGTAAAACTGTAGTGCACAATTTGTAAAATAAAAAATTAATTGGTAAGTTATCTCCGTGGAGCATTTTGATTGAGAGTGCATTCGGAAAGTATTCAGACCCGTTTACTTTTTCCACATTTTGTTATGTTATAGCCTTATTCTAAAATTGATTAAATTGTTCCCCCCCTCTTCAATCTGCACACAATACACCATAATGACAAAGCAAAAACAGTTGTATTTATAATACATTTGCAAAAATGTAAAAAAATAATTAAAAAAAATGAAATATTACATTCACATAAGTATTCAGACCCTTTACTCAGTACTTTGTTGAAGCACCTTTGGCAGCGATTACTGCCTCGAGTCTTCTTATTTATGACACTACAAGCTTGGCACACCTGTATTTGGGGAGTTTCTCCCATTCTTCTGTGCAGATCCTCTCAAGCTCTGTCAGGTTGGATGGGGAGCGTCGCTGCACGGCTATTTTCAGGTCTCTCCAGAGATGTGTCATGGAAATTCTAATCAATAAATGAGGAGAGACAAGGTCAATCACCAATTAGGATATTACTTTATTCAAAACGTATTAATAAGGGAGCCGGTCACACCACACACACAAGTGAATAGAGTGAGTGCTCTGCAATAATGAGGCTGGTCGACCCAACACTCTTGAGTGTTGGGCCGAGAGCTCCAACATACAGAGAATACAGATATATTTTACATTTACATTTACGTCATTTAGCAGACGCTCTTATCCAGAGCCACTTACAGTTAGTGAATACATATATTATTTTTTATACTGGCCCCCTGTGGGAATCGAACCCACAACCCTGGCGTTGCAAACGCCATGCTCTATCAACTGAGCTGCATCCCTGCCGGCCATTCCCTCCCCTACCCTGGACGACGCTGGGCCAATTGTGCGCCGCCCATGAGTCTCCCGGTCGCGGCCGGCTGCGACAGAGCCTGGATTCGAACCAGGATCTCTAGTGGCACAGTTAGCACTGTGATGCGGCGCCTTAGATCACTGCGCCACTTTTATAACATGACAAACAGCAGATGTGTGGAATGGGTCAAAAGGTGAGGCTTGATATATGAGAAAAAGAGTATCCCCAGCCAGATAGCATTTGCTGTGAAGACTGTCCTTGTTGTATAGAAACCAGAGTTTGGCCCCTAAGACAAGGTTCCTCTCATCATTATCCATACCCGAGCCATCTCCTCCCTGGTACCTCCCAGTACACAAACAACAACCCATTCCATGGAATGCAGGCTCACTCAGACCGGAGACATCTCCCTCACATGCACCACTAATCATAGAATGGAATGTGGCTGTTGGTTTTATCACCTTTATCACCAAGCCATCATAAATCAATTGCCAGTGCCAAGCTTCAGAGGCCCAACTCAGTCCCACAGACACAGATGAGAGAGTACTGAGAACCCTATTCCATTGAATAAAACTACCATTCAATGCATAAACAGTATTAAACATAATCTTGTAATTTCTCTACCATAGATGTTCGATCGGGTTCAAGTCTGGGCTCTGATTGGGCCACTCAAGGACATTCAGAGACTTGTCCCGAAGCCACTCCTGTGTTGTCTTGGCTGTGTGCTTAGGGTCGTTGTCCTGTTGTAAGGTGAATCTTCGCCCCAGTCTGAGGTCCTGAGCACTCTGGAGCAGGTTTTCATCAAGGATCACTCTGTACTTTGCTCCGTTCATCTATCCTGACTAGTCTTCCAGTCCCTGCCGCTGAAAAACATCCCCACAGCATGATGCTGCCACCATCATGCTTCACCGTAGGGATGGTGCCAGGTTTCCTCCAGACATGACACATGGCATTCAGGCCAAAGAGTTCAATCTTGGTTTCATCAGACCAGAGAATCTTGTTTCTCATGGTCTGAGAGTCCTTTAGGTGCCAAGTGGGCTGTCATGTGCCTTTTACTGATGAGTGGCTTCCTTCTGGCCACTCTACCATAAAGGCCTGATTGGTGGAGTGCTGCATAGATAATTGTCCTTCTGGAAGGTTCTCCCATCTCCACAGAGGAACTCTGGAGCTCTGTCAGTGTGATCATCGGGTTCTTGGTCACCTCCCTGACCAAGGCCCTTCTACCCCAATTGCTCAGTTTGGCCGGGCGGCCAGCTCTAGGAAGAGTCTTGGTGGTTCCAAACTTCTTCCATTTAAGAATGATGGAGGCCACTGTGTTCTTGGGGACCTTCAATGCTGCAGAAATGTTTTGGTACACTTCCCCAGATGCGTGCCTTGACACAATCCGGTCTCGGAGCCCAAGGACAATTCCTTCGACCTCATGGCTTGTTTTTTGCTATGACATGCACGGTCAACTGTGGGACCTTATATAGGCAGGTGTGTGCCTTTCCAAATCATGTCCAATCAATTGAATTTACCACAGGTGGACTCCAATCAAGTTGTAGAAACATCTCAAGGATGATCAACGGAAACGTGATGCACCTGAGCTCAATTTCGAGTCTCATAGCAAAGGGTCTGAATCCTTATGTAAATAAGGTATTTCTGTTTTTATTTGTAATACATTTGCAAACATTTCTAAAAACCTGTTTTGACTTTGTCATTATGGAATATTGTGTGTACAGTGGGGAGAACAAGTATTTGATACACTGCCGATTTTGCAGGTTTTCCTACTTACAAAGCATGTAGAGATCTGTAATTTTTATCATAGGTACACTTCAACTGTGAGAGACGGAATCTAAAACAAAAATCCAGAAAATCACATTGTATGATTTTTAAGTAATTAATTTGTATTTTATTGCATGACATAAGTATTTGATACATCAGAAAAGCAGAACTTAATATTTGGTACAGAAATCTTTGTCTGCAATTACAGAGATCAAACGTTTCCTGTAGATTTTGACCAGGTTTGCACACACTGCAGCAGGGATTTTGGCCCACTCCTCCATACAGACCTTCAGGTTTCGGGGCTGTCGCTGGGCAATACGGACTTTCAGCTCCCTCCAAAGATGTTCTATTGGGTTCAGGTCTGGAGACTGGCTAGGCCACTCCAGGACCTTGAGATGCTTCTTACGGAGCCACTCCTTAGTTGGCCTGGCTGTGTGTTTCGGGTCGTTGTCATGCTGGAAGACCCAGCCACAACCCATCTTCAATGCTCTTACTGAGGGAAGGAGGTTGTTGGCCAAGATCTCATGATACATGGCCCCATCCATCCTCCCCTCAATACGGTGCAGTCGTCCTGTCCCCTTTGCAGAAAAGCATCCCCAATGAATGATGTTTCCACCTCCATGCTTCACGGTTGGGATGGTGTTCTTGGGGTTGTACTCATCCTTCTTCTTCCTCCAAACACAGCAAGTGGAGTTTAGACCAAAAAGCTCTATTTTTGTCTCATCAGACCACATGACCTTCTCCCATTCCTCATCTGGATCATCCAGATGGTCATTGGCAAACTTCAGACGGGCCTGGACATGCGCTGGCTTGAGCAGGGGGACCTTGCGTGCGCTGCAGGATTTTAATCCATGACGGCGTAGTGTGTTACTAATGGTTTTCTTTTTTGACTGTGGTCCCAGCTCTCTTCAGGTCATTGACCAGGTCCTGCTGTGTAGTTCTGGGCTGATCCCTCACCTTCCTCATGATCATTGATGTCCCACGAGGTGAGATCTTGCATGGAGCCCCAGACCGAGGGTGATTGACCGTCATCTTGAACTTCTTCCATTTTCTAATAATTGCACCAACAGTTGTTGCCTTCTCACCAAGCTGCTTGCCTATTGTCCTGTAGCCCATCCCAGCCTTGTGCAGGTCTACAATTTTGTCCCTGATGTCCTTACACAGCTCTCTGGTCTTGGCCATTGTGGAGAGGTTGGAGTCTGTTTGATTGAGTGTGTGGACAGGTGTCTTTTATACAGGTAACAAGTTCAAACAGGTGCAGTTAATGGCTACTGCTAGAATAGAATAGAATAGAATAGAAAGGTTCAGTTGAAGTATTCAGACTCTTTACTCAG